TGAGTCAACCCTGAGCCGGTGAGATTTGAACCGCTGACCTGCTGATCTAGCAGTAGCCTGCAGTGCTGCTTTTAACCACTGCGCCACCTTGACTCAAGCTGTGGATAGGATGTGCTGGCTGACTACCTCCATGGTTATATATGTAATATAGTAATTTCCTTAATTTTTAAATGGAAAAATTACATGTATGGAAATGAACAGGCAACACTGCCCCTGTGATGCCCTTGATCTATGAAGCAGTCTTAATGATTTTTTTTAAGATGACAGATTGCTTTCATCCACAAGCTTAGAGGACATTTTGTGAGTCATCCCTCTGAATTATTTCAATAGTCCCCAAAATTACCTCCAATTGAAAATTTCTTTATATGGAGTGGACTAATCCAGGGCTGGCACTGAAATACTTCCACAAATCTAATTTGGATCATATATTGCAAACAGAATGCCTCATGTACATACAGACATTTTGGCTTGTAAATCATGGTTTAGCAAGCCATGGTTTAATGTGTATGTAATTCAGTTTCTTTCCTTGTGCACATGGGTTCTCAACGTTTAAGTATATAATATTTGGCTTTCCTTTTGCTTACTTACCCACATGCAATATATTGGCTGTTTTTAGAGATTGCAATAGAAGTACCATGCAGACAACCTTCATCAGTAAACTTGTTCACACACCGCCTGCTTTTCACATCCCATATGAAAACTTCACCCTCATCTAGTAGATAAGTATGTGTTATTGAAAACAATGTTTAAAAGAATTAAAATATCACATGCCTGATTTAGAAAACAAAGAAGTCATTAGACCATGAATCTTTTGATAATTATTCAAATTGTTCTTGTATTATTTTTGATAGACATATGGAATATAAACTATATAGAGCAAACTAAAGATATACAAAAGGATTATTTTTTTTTTTGCTTTTGGGAGGCTGTATTGATTTACAAGCATTTATTTTATGTCCCACCTTTATTACTTTTATAAACAACTTAAAGCAGTGAACATATCTAAAGGTCTTTTCTGCTTCTATTTTCCCCACAACAACCAGCCCGTGAGGTGAGTTGGGCGGCCCAAGGTCACCCAGCCAGTTTTCATGCCTAAAGTGGGACTAGAAGTCAAGATCTTCTACTTTCTAGCCTGGTGTCATACACTAGACCAAATATTACTGTTCTATTTTATGTTTCAAGGATCACTTAACTGTGGTTTCAAAATGGGGACAATCAATACAATAGCAACAATGTAAGTTGAACTAAAAAATATTTATTTCACCAAGCTACAAATGCTAAATCTGCAGTCAGCAATTCTGAAAACATTACCAGAATATGTGTAGATTCTGCTGCCATCTGGAGAGAATGATGATGCAATAGCCCTTCCATTTATTTTCATGCTTCCAACAAATTCTTTTGTCTAAGATGGATATAATAATGCCTATTGTCACCATTATTTATAAGACTATTAAGCAAAATGGTCTTACTAGATGATCTCTTCTATTTTGTGAGAAATGAGAGGTACCCCAACATAAAAGACATGGTTATCCTACTTTCTTATCTGATGTCATTTTTGTTCTTTCTTTTGCATTATAATGCAAATAAGTTTGCATTATTAATAATTTATTATTAATTAATAAATTATTTAATGAAAACTCTTATAACACACAGTATAAAAAATAAAATTAAAGAGCTACCAGTAATCATGGATTGGATTCAGCAAACTTACAATAAAATATGTTGTGGATTAACAAGTATATGAATATGTCTTAATTTTAATTAAATGGTGCAATATTGCTATCTGAATTATGTTATCCCAAACAAACATATAAGTAGGAACTATACCTTCATTGTAATCAAATGAAGATAACCTGATGTTCCAGTAAGCAGCAGGAATGTTCCATCTGGAGATACTTCAAATTTTTTGACGATCTTCTCCTCTAAGCCTTTAATTCAAAGCAGAAATGTAAAATCTGTTTCTTCTATATACAGAATTTGTTTTTAAAAACTATTCAGCCTTTCAATTTAACAGTACAATCCCCCTAGATTTTAGGGGGATGTATTCCCAGGTAAAAGTGAGCAGTACTGCAGCTGTAAATATAACAAGTTATTTATTGTACATGTCCAAAAATGGTAGTTTGATTCTTTATTTTTTTTCTACACTCACACACACATACACACACAGACATGGGAGGGAAGGAGGGGGAGAGAATGCCTAGCTGAAGTTATAAAAGCAGACATATAGAGACAATTACAGAGTAATATTTGCCGAGTGTTTTCTTCTTGGTACAAAAGAATAAAATTACATTCAGGAACCTTAATGAAAAACAATTACCTCTGATATGATTTATAGGAATAATTTTTCCTTCCATCATGTCGTATATATAAAATAGCTTGTTATGAATGCTAGTAGCTATAACCTGTTCTCCTTCTGCACTGAAACGTGCCTTGTAAATTGGAAAGTCTTCCAAGTGAATGCTCTGTATCTGTGGATTTGTGATACCATCCACCTTAAAGAAAAAAGAAACCGTTCTCTCAGTATCTAAGTGTACTAAGGATGTATAAAATATAATACAAAAAATATATACAGATCTTATGAACTAACTTTTTATTATCAAATAAGAAACTCACTAAGCTCTGCAAAATTCACGTATTCCACTCTCTTGAAATAATTCAAAGCTTCAACATGTATGAAATTACTGTTACTTACTATGGCAGATGATGCTTTGACATAATTCTTTTGCTTCTGAAAAAATACTAAAAAAGTCCTGCTTGTCTACAGTCTTTCGGTTTCATCCCAGGCCCATAGATGTGATAGCAAACAATAAGCTGCTGAGTTTTATGGACAAAAATAAAGTAAAATCTATATCATTCTTACCTGGAATAGTGATATAGATCGATCATGCCCAGCTGTCATAACAACTTGAGCAGTAGGATGAAACTGAACAGTTGTTAATTTGGCATCTGATACACGTTCATTATTGGCGTGCAAACAATTTTTCATCTAAAAGATAGAATATGAATATACAGTGCTTTTATAGCTCAGCAAACTTAAGTAGAACATAGAAAACTAGAAAACTAAGTAGAAATTTTCTATTGGAATTAGAATATATTTCAGTGAACGCTATTAGATCAATTAAAGGTGCAAGTAAGAATTAAAATATATAAATATTAAATACAAAAAATACAGCAGTGGCAAGTTCCACACCAATTGCTGTGCCAGTTGCTGTTGTTTTTAGTTAGCTAAAGGAGGATGGATAAGGAAGAGTCAGTTAAGCATACTTTCAGAAATAAAGATAATGCTGTCTGTCTGATAATAAGATTGACTTCTGCTTCTGGCTATTTTAATACAGGAAGTACTCAACTTACAACCACAATTGGGGCTGAAACTTCTGTTGCTAAGCAAAGTAGTCATTAAGTGAGTCACACCCAATTTTACTAGAAGTTTTCTTGTGGTCATTAAGCAAATCTGGCTTTGCCCATTGACTGCTTATTGGAAACACTCTTGAGGTAGTCACAAAAGGTGATCACATGACCCCGGGACTCTGCAACCTTCTTAATATAGGCCTTTTTCCAAGTACCTGAATTTTGATCTTGTGACCATGGGGACGCTGCAATGTTCATTTGAAGGCCGATTGTAAGCACTTTCTTCAGCAGTGTTGTAACACTACACAGTGGTTAAACAAATGGTTGCAAGTTGAGGATTACTGTATTGCCTTAGAATTTACAGGTCAGTTTGCTCTTTTATATTCTGCATGTCTTAATAACTTCTTTATAAGAGAGATTGCCAAATCCTAAAGCATATATATCTAGTCCTTCACTTACAACCACAACTGAACCCAAAATTTCTGTTCTTGAGCGAGACAATTGTGAATTTTGCCCCATTTTATGCCTTTCCTTGCCAAGTTGTTGAGTGAATCCCTACAGTTGTTTAATGATAACATGGTTGTTAATAGAATCTGTCTTTCCCATTAACTTTGCTTGTCAGAAGGTTACAAAAGGTGATCACATGACCCGGAGACATTGCAACTATCATAAATATGAACCAGTTGCCAAGGATCTGAATTTTGATCATGTGACCATGGGGATGCTGCAACTGTTGAAAAGATAAGTCATTTTTTCAGAGCCATTGCAACTTCAAACTAAATAAATCGCTATAATTCAAGGACTACCTATATTGTGATTATACATTACATTGCGCATTAAGCATTGTGATTATGCATGGCTATTCTGTGCTGTGTGTCCAAGTTGAAAAACTCAAAAACAATATTTGCTTGCTTTTTGAGACAATGTGCTAACAGGTTGATTCAATGTTTTTTCATTATCCATTATTTTTTAATAAGCTTACATTAATATTTCTGTAGGTTGGGCGCAAGTAGCATGAAAAACAGGTTAGGCTGAGAAAGGACCAAAGAACGTCTGAATTTTCACTATTCTTCAAGGTAGAAGGTTCACAGCATTTTGAGCAGATTTCTTTTGTTCCAATAGTTTCTTATTTAGGCACATATTCAGTCCAACCTAAGTTTTATTTAAAATGTTTATCAAATCTCACCGGCTCAAGGTTGACTCAGCCTTCCATCCTTCCGAGGTGGGTGAAATGAGGACCCAGACTGTGGAGGCAAGTTGCTGACTCAATTTGCTAAAAAAATCTGTAAACCGCTTAGAGAGGGCTGAAAGCCCTATGAAGCGGTATATAAGCCTAATAAATAAATAAATAAATAAATAAATCTTACTCTTTGACATTAAAAAATGCACTGAGTGATTTATTTGATAAGACTATCCCTTTCCTTGAGCTGATGAACATGAAGCAAAAAGTTTGCCTTCAATACTGAAGTTCCACGTAATTATATTAAACTTCAACCTAGCAACATATTATTTATTTATTTATTTATTAGACTTATATAACGCTTCATAGGGCTTTCAGCCCTCTCTAAGCGGTTTACAAATTTTTTAGCAAATTGAGTCAGCAACTTGACTCCACAATCCGGGTCCTCATTTCACCCACCTCGGAAGGATGGAAGGCTGAGTCGACCTTGAGCTGGTGAGATTTGAACCGCTGAACTGCAGATCACAGTCAGCTAAAGTGGCCTGTAGTACTGCACCCTAACCACTGCGCCACCTCGGCTCAGTATATTCAAGATATAACAATGGTATCAGTTGCATTAGGGCAGTAGTCACAAATCTTCAATGCCCCAGACTTACCCTCTCCCATTTATAAGCTTGCCAGAAACAGTAATAAATAGAAATGAAGTCGAATTTTATTTACCTGTAAAATGCCTTTTGGTAAAGAGTCTGACATGATCACAAAATTGCCTGTCTTGTGCAACAGATCCTCCTCCTCTTCATCCTCAGTGTCACCTTAAGCAGAGGAAGTCCTTGTCAATAATTATTAATCTAGGCTTAAATAAATATCACACAGTATGTCTGCACAAGACTACGTCTTCTATTTATACAGGCGATCAATGATGAGCTTCAATTACCTTCATGTGAGGTTTTCCTTTTGGTTTTTTTCCCCATGCCTCTCAGTGCCCAAGAAGGTGTTGTTCCCATAGCACCTTGAAATCTGTAAAGAAGTATTATTACTAAGGACAAAGCAGGTTGTCCGGATAAGTCAAAAATTCATAATTAATGTTACAGTCAGCAAAAAATGAAGAATCAGAGAATGAGCAGCAGATAAAGTGAGGGACAAAAGGCAAGAAATGGAGGAAGAGGGTGATCATTGTTATCCAATAATGCATGATCCTTCTTTCCTTGGCCTCTCAGCCACACAGTGTGATAGAAGTATTATTGAAATGAATGATGGCACACTTGAACTTATTTTTTTTGTATAGTACATTCTGTATTCCACAAATGTTACTTTGTGTCATTGAATCTTTTACAGGTAGTCCTCAACTTACAACAGTTTGTTCAAAGTTACAACCACACTGAAAAATGTGATTTTTGACCTTTTTTCAAAGTTGAAAATTTTGCAGCATCCACATGATCATGTGATCAAAATTCAGATGCTTGGCAACTGGCTCATATTTATGACTGTTGCTGTGTCCCAAGATCATGTGATCACCTTTGCGTCTCAGAAGAAAAATCAATGGGGAAGCCAGATTCACTTAACAACTGGGTTACCAACTTATCAACTGCAGTGATTCACTTAACAACTGTGGCAAGAAAGTTCATAAAATGGGGCAAAACACTTAACAAATGTCTCACTTAGCAACAAATATTTTGAGCTTAATTATGGTCATAAGTCCAGGGCTACCTGTATTAGGAATGCAGTAGGCAAAACATTTTTTTGCTATTTCTTGCATTCAACACAAACATTTCAGATTGTAACTGAAATAAAATCCCCAAAGATAGCATTATGTAAAATAACATGTTACCAATAAAACATACTCTTCTTGAAATCTTCTCTGAAGTTTTGTTTTTGAAAGCTTATTTTCTGCATCACTTTTCATCATATTTTTCCGATGCCGGTGCATCATGTCAATTCTGGGAAAACAAAGCCATATGCTAAATTCATACAATTGTCCACTTATTCATATTTTTGAAAGGTAAAGATTCCAAGCTTCACTCCTGGTAACTATTTGGACACATCCAGGCAAATTTTGGCAAAACTATGGAAATGATTTTCTGTACTTTATTCCAGGATTTTTTTTTTACAATTTTAGATTGCTTAATGATGTAGGGCATATCAATAATATTACCATTGCATTCATCATTATTCCATTTATTTTTATGATATAGATTTGAACATGTTCAGGACAGTATGATTGTCAAACTATGTAAAAATGAGAGAAATAAAAAACTGTTATATATTAGATCAGATTTCTTTAGCCAGGTATCTTCCAGATGTCAAGATTTCAAAATTCTTAGCACAGCCAGGGTAAGTTAAGAAAAACTATAGTACTGTAGATCCTATATTAATATTTCATTATGGCTGAAGTACCAGACATAAGTAAAGATTCAGATCTCAACACACAAACTCACTAAACAGTTTTCCACTCAATTTAGCTGATTTCATCTGGCTATGGTTATAATAAGAGGGATGGCAAGGCAATTACATAACTTACTGTGATCACTGGAGGAAAGGCAAAGACATAAATGGAAAAAAATATTTGTATATAATGCAAACAGCAGCTTGTATTCACATTTAATGTTATTTGATCAGCGACAATACCAAAGTAAAAGAAAATATTTGGGCAATATTTTTAAAAATGCGAAGGCATTAAAATTAACTCTTAAATTGGAAAGCTCAAAACAGACACTTAAAACATTTTCACACCCATAAATATTTAAATATATTAAATAAAAGTGCAAAGGATTAAATACAATTTGCTTATGATATCATTTGATTGAAATTGATTTACTGAGTACTGCATACATTTCTTCAGTTTCGTCATCTTCATCTACCCATGCTGGCTTTTTCAGTGGAAGAAAGTTGTCTTCTGCATCATTCTCCACTTCAGAATCGCCAGATTCTTCTTCAAAGTTACTGTTCAACACATCACCACCCTAAAATTTTTAAAACAAAACTGTTTAAAAAGAAAATTTGAAAGCAGAATGTTTAAATGTTTTTTAATCTAATTTTGATGTAGGTAACAAATGTGGTCACTTGACATGCTTTACAGCTGCATCGCTCAACAATAGAAATGCCAGCCCCAATTACTGTAGTTAACAGGTAATCCTTGACTTACAATGATTAATTTAGTAACTGTTCAAAGTTATGGTAACACTAAAAAAGTGATTTATGACAAATTTTCACCCTTAATGACTGTTGCAGTATCTATGGTCACATGATCAAAATTCAGGAACTTGGCAAATAGCATGTATATATGACAGCTGCACTGTCCTGGGGGTGGTGGTGGTGTCATGTGATCACCATTTGTAACTTTCTCAGTTGGCTTCTGACAAGCCAAGTAAATGGGGAAAGCCAGATTCTCTAACAACTGCAGTGATTCACCTAACTTTGGTAAAGAAGTGATGAAATGGGGTACCTCACTTAACAACTGCCTTGCTTAGAAATGAAAATTTTGGCCAAAATCATGGTCATAAGTTGAGGACTACCTGCATACTATATCCCTAAATGAAACAGCAGACAGGAATTAAGTTTATCTGCTCACCAAGCAATACCTTCATTTCTTTTGATTTACTAAGTCACTATTTTCCCCCAATAGTCAACACTCATGCACCCTCCCAATAGAGCATTCCATTAACATGTTTACTTCTTCACAAACAACTCAAGTTCAGAAGATGAGGGACTAACAGGTTAAAGGGAGAAATGAGGGGTCCTTGATGCTTTCTCTGCTTGGTTGTTTTCTTTTGGACCTTTCAATACCCATACTAGGTAACATGGCATGTACGTATGTCAGTTGTGAGATTCAAATTTTTTTTGAATCTACCGGTTCTACCGGTTCTGTGGGCATGGCAGGGGAAGGATACTGCAAAATCTCCATTCCCTCCCCATTCCAGGGGAAGATTACTGAAAAATCCCCCTTCCCTCCAGATCAGCTGGGACTCGGGAGGCAGAGAATGGATGGCAGTGGGGCCAGTCAGAGGTATTTACCGATTCTCCGAACTATTCAAAATTTCTGCTACCGGTTCTCCAGAACTGGTCAGAACCTGCTGAATACCACCTCTAATGTATGTATATTTGAGAACTGTATGAAGAAAATTTCATGTAATGTATGCCGATTAGTGTACATTCAAAGTGACAAAAAGTGGTTCTAAGTATCATCACTAAGTTAGTATCATCATCTAAGTAACATCACTATTAGCAAGAGGTAAATGGAGAAATAAATTTCAAAGTACA